TTCTGATGAAGGGTCTAGGCCCGAAACGTCAGCCGTCCTGCTCCTATGATGCTGCTTGGCCTGCTGTGTTCATCCAGCTCTGCACCTTGCAGTCTTAAGAAAGAGACTGATCTACATTAACAGTAAAAATCAGGGAATAAGTCCTCACCCTTTGTTGCTGGGCTTTCTGAATCGTTGTGATCTGTTGTGCCACCACAGACAAAACTTCAATATCAATCCGATTAAACTCATCAAAGCAAGCCCAGGCACCTGCACTGAAAATGCACAACAAGAAATCATTAGCTAGAACATACTTATTTTTAACAAATGTAGTATATTGGCAAACTAGAATTAACAGGATAAAGAATGTTTGAAATGTTGGCAATATGAAATTTCACTTTTTGACGTATCCAAAGAGTGAAACATAATTATTGCTAGGGTGCGTCTGTTCAAAATGCAAATAGTTGAGCGCTGTAGATAGTGAACAGCTAAATTACAGATGAATTGATGAGCGCAGGTTAAAACTGATTGAGAATAAGACATATTGTGAGGAATATGAGAATTCTTCCAATGTCATCTTTAGGCATGGAAATGCAAACTGAACACTAGAATATAGTTAGCCGCAAATGCATCATTTTCCAAGGAGGAGCGTATTTTCTTTTTAAATTATTAATTAATTTTCTAAATGCTCGCTATTTACTGTCTACTTATTGACTACTATCAGACCTTTACATGCAGTTTCCAAATTTATTCATGGATTCCCTACAGTGTGGGAACAGGCCCTTCAGCCCAACAAGTCCAGACCAACCCTCAGAGCATCCCATCCCCAGACCCATCCCTGCATAACCTACCTAATCTACACATCCCTGAACACTGTGGGCAATTTAGCATGGCCAATCCACCTAGCCTGCACATCTTTGGACTGTGGGAGGAAACCGGAGCACCTGGCGGAAACCCACATGGGGAGAACGTGCAAACTCCGCACAGTCACCTGAGGGTGGAATTGAACCCGGGTTCCTGGCGCTGTGAGGCAGCAACACTAACCACTGAGCCACCATGCTGCCCCATGACTGGGGACTTTGCTCAGTGAAGGCAGAACGCAGTAGGAGGCCGAGGGTTATTCGGAGAACAATGAGTTGGTTAATGTTCAGCCATACGGCGGGGCCCAGAGTGCTCCACAGTCTCCTCTCTGTGCACTCTAGTGTTGCTTCCTTAAGACTGTCTTCAAAAATGGCTTCACAGCCCCAGTGGTTAACTCCAGAGGAAAGGGAACAGCTTCTACCAGAATTAAAAGCAGCTGGATGGGGGGAAGTTGAAGACCAAGATGCCCTTTTTAAAGAATTTTCATTCTTTCATTTATTTTAAGCAACTTGTCCCCACGTATCTGTGTATTATACATTGTCCATATTTAAGGTCCTAGTATTAGGCTTAAATAATCAAGAGTTATAACTACAGAGATGTCAAAAAACAAAGACTGACTCCCTGACTGCACTGGAATCGACACTAAAGAACAACGGGCTGACAAGAAGTACACAGACCATCAAACAGATGATAGTCCCAACACTGAGCAAAAAAAGAAAGTGGAACACATTCAACACATAAGAGAAAAAAGCCCTGAAAAGACTCAAGAAAGACAGGAACATTGTAATTTTACCAGCGGACAAAGAATGCATGACAGTAATCCTCAATAAAACCCAATACATCGAGAAAGATAACGCACTAGTAGCAGATACCCACACCTATAAATAGATGGCAATAGACCCGACACCACAATTAGGGATAACAAGGTGTAGAGCTGGATGAACACAGCAGGCCAAGCAGCATCAGAGGAGCAGGAAGGCTGACGTTTCGGGCCTAGACGCTTCTTCAGAAACAACCTGCTCCTCTGATGCTGCTTGGCCTGCTGTGTTCATCCAGGTCTCCCCCTTGTTATCTCAGATTCTCCAGCATCTGCAGTTCCTACTATCTCTCACCACAATTAGGGAACCAGATTACAACAACCCTGAAGGAATTACACAATTCAGGAGACATCAGCAAGACAGACTACCAAAAAGTGAAGCCAGAGGAATCCAACACACCCCAATTCTAAGGACTCCCCAAGGTACACAAACCAGGGGTCCCCCTCAGACCCGTTGTTTCACTACTAGGCACATCAACATATAGACTTGCCAAAGAACTACTATAGAAATTGAAATACTTAGTGGATAACGCTACCCACTCCATCCACTCATCCCAGGAATTTCTCAACATCATCAAGGACACCAGGATAGGAGGGGACAAGATGATGATATACTTCGACATAACAACACTATTTACATCCATAAACATCGACCTAGCCAAAGAAAGAATTGCCACACTGCTGGACAAATCAAGCAGGCAGGCAACCCAGGACACACCAACAACATCAATAAGGACACCACCATGAAATTACTAGATCTGTGCCTCACAAACCACTTCACCTTCAATGACAACATATACAAACAAATCAACAGAACACCAATGGGGTCCCCAATATCAGGACAGATTGCAGAAGCAGTAATGCAAAGGTTAGAATGGAGAGCGCTCCACAGTATACAACCCAAACTTTGGGTCCGATATGTAGACAACACCTTCGTGATTATTAAACGCACAAAACTAGAAGAAACCCACTGACACATAAAGAACATCCTTACCGGGATAAAATTCACAAAAGAAGAAGAAAACAACAATCAACTACCCTTCCTGGACATAATGTTTAGAATGCAAAAACAACGGGGAACTCCTGGCTAGCAAATATAGAAAGACCACACATCCGGACCAGATATTCAATTACACTAGCAACCATCCCAACACCCACAAACAGAACTGCATCAGGACACTATTTAAATGGGCCACAGCACATTGTAGCAACCCAGAACTACGCAAAGCAGAACAGGAGCACTTATACGAAGTCTTCAAAAGAAATGGATACCCGAAAAGCACAATCCACCGCTACCTCCGAGATAGACCACAAGAGGAAGACACAACACGACCAGACTCACTAATCACCCTACCATACATCAAGGACATTTCAGAGATGACCACAAGACTACTCAGACCCCTAGGTGTCAGAGTAGCCCACAAACTGACAACCATCCTGCAACAGCTACTGACAAATGTAAAGGACCCCATAACCAAAACCAACAAAATCGGTGTAATATACAAAATACCATGCAAGGGTTGTGAGAAACACTGCATAGGCCAAACCAGAAGAAAATTGACAATACAGATACATGAACACCAACTAACCACCAAGAGACACAACTAATCTTCACTGGTCTCACCACACACGGACAACGACGGCCACGAATTTGACTGGGGCAACACATCCATAGTCACACAAGTCAAACAGAGACACGCCAGGGAATTCCTGGAGTCCTGGTATTCCAACTGGAAATCTGTCAACAAACACATTGGTTTGTACACAGGGTCTAATTCAATGAGAAACAAAAACAGAAGTGATGCCAACCAACCCAGCAAACTGAGGCATATAAATAACAAGTGGGACAGAACACCAACGTTTCACCGGAGGTGCACTGACGATGTTACCTAGCAGGGTGACGAAATGTTTGCATCCAAACCCACCGGCTCGGTGAGCAAGTCTACAACCTCATCCACAACCTGAGCTACAAATCTTTTCGAAAACTTTAATCCTTCTCAGACTTAACATATAATGCAATCATATATTGATCACGCTTCCCCTGTAGCTTCTTTACCGCAAAGATTTTAATTAAACCTGTTTTATTGCATATAATAGGTCAAAAGTAGCTTGTTTCCCAGTTGATTCTTTGACTTGCTAATCGAAATAAAATAAAAAGCACCAAAGCGCTCAGGTCCACAAAACTAAAAATATTTCAAATGCATCCACACATACTTTATTTGAGGCTAGATAACCTTTCAAATTGAATTCCAAGTCCTCCTAAGATAGATCCATAGACTGCCCTTAGCTATTTCCATTCCATCCGCTGACTTCTGGCCTGTCTCAGCTCATCAGCTGCTGAAACCCTCATTCATGCCATGATAATTGTAGACTTGACTGTTTCAATACATACATGATTAGCCTCTCATATTCTACCCATCATATACTGATGTAAAACTCTTCCTGTGTCTTGACTCATGCTTCTCAATATCTTTACTCTCACTAAATATGACTCCCTTATTAATAAATGTGTTCACCAACCTATTTTGAATACTGGTCTTGCAACATTTTAATTTTAAAATTTTCATTCTTGTTTCCCAATTATTTCATAACATTGCTCCTCTCCTGTAAATATCTGCAGGCCCCTGTCGCCAAAATGGTTCTTTAGTTCTAGCCTCTTGAGTATCTCAATTTTAATCATTCATGGCTGTGCTTTCAGTTGCCTAGATTTGTCTGGCGATCCCTCCGACATCTCCACCTTTCTACCTTACTTCCCCCTTTAATATGCACTTTAAAACCTATCTATTTGACCACATGTTTGGTAACTTGACCTAACATTTTCATATGTTGTTGTTATAAAGCGGAGGTTGACGTACCCCACCAAGAACTAAAACTAAAGCACCCAAAGAGGAGCACCTTGCCTATCATCTATAAAAGGAATGTGAAAAGTGGTGTAACCTGCTTTTCAGAAAGTAGTCAAATAAAATAAATCCCTGACACTCACTTTACAGTCAACAAGTAACAATTGATTTATCTAACTCTAACAATGAGCAACTTAACTAAACTATTAACAAACTGAATAAACCCTTTTTAACTACAAACTATTCCCAAATAAAACAAGATTCTAATAGTACGCTGGTACAATAGATGCAATACATATGTAACAAAACAGTAGAATTTATCCTCTTGAAATTACAGCCAGGTTACATCTTCTGGAATGTTCTGTGTCTTCTCCATCAGTTCTTCCGTCAGGAATGCTTTCTCTGTCAATTTTTCTGTCAGGAATCTTAGCTAGGAGTGCCATGGTACCATTGTGAATAGATGGTGTTTTCTCTAAGAGCCGAGAGCTGTTATCTCCAGCAGATGGCAGTTAGCTATGCCGATTTTCCAACTGCTTCTCTCCTTTTATACCCCTGATAACATATCAATTGCTTACAATAAGATTTGGTCCTAGGTTGTCAAAACCATCAGATTCAGATTTGACAGGTTTTTGGTATCTAAGTGCCTGGTTCAAACTGATTGGCTAAATTCAAAAAACTGTCTTGGTAAAAATGCTGGTTGACCTGCTAACAGTATGGCCTTTTGACACAAATGTTTCAATTTGGGTGCTCTCTGTACTTGCTAATTTTCAAGCTGCTCACAGACATCTCCAAGCATAGAAAAAGCACAATCTTTCAAAGGGACCATACAATGCTTTCCTTCCTAGCATTTTATAAACACCAATATTTTACAAACACCAAATTCTAATGTCCTGCCTCCCAATCCACAAACACTCTACCCAACTTCGCAACATCACTGGTGGCATCTTTCATTTTACAACATTCATGAGAGACACCTTTCTTTGTAATTTGAGTTTATTAACTATTTCGTTTTACAAATCTTTCCACACAACAGCCCGACCTATTCCTTCTTTATACCTACACAGTTAACACAGTCAATTAAATCAATACAACAGGTTGATTAAAATCATCTCAATCAATTAAACAATTAATCACAAACACCACTTCATAGTTGCTCTATGAAAAAAGCAGAACATTTTATTTTATCAGCAGGTCAGACAGCATCTGAGGAGCAGGTAAGTCAAAGTTTTGGGCCAAAACCCTTCATCTGCTGTGCTCTTCCAGCCTCACACCTATAGAGTCTGGCTTCCTGCATCTGCAGTCCTTATTGTCTCTATGTAAATATAAACTTTCAAAACTGGAAACTATTGGCAATTGGTCAAGAATCAAATCCAGACCTTCTCCTTCGTCTTTGCTTGTGACTACTATTTACTGTATAAGCATATTTTATATTCCAAGGGAACTGAACCATATATTTATCAAATTAATATCAATGACACACAGTCTGGAAACAGCAGTATTGTGCATCAACAATGCTTTTCATTTCATACCTGGCCAAACCTTTAAGAAATTTGCCCATTGCTAGGAAGTCCAGTTGGTCAGAGCAGTTGAAAACAACGGTCTGTATTGCAAGGGCTTTACCTAAGTCTTTGGTAGTTTCAGTTTTGCCTGTGCCAGCAGGTCCGGCTGGAGCACCACCAAATTTAAGATGCAAAGCACCCGTTAATGTGAGGTAACACCTAGAAACAGGAATAAATAACTCCATTAAATAATAGAGCAATTATCAAAAGTAGCTGTAAACACTGATTTTGTAAAGTCTAAAGATGACAAATGAAAGTGAATGAAAACTACATTCCATCTTACATCAAAGTCTGGGAGTTAATGGACATAATGATCTTCACCGAATTTACTCTTTAAGAAAGTGCGGTGTTTTGCTCCAATGAACTAATATTTCTATTCACCACACTTTAAATCCTCGTTCATGTTGTAGCAAGGAAGAAGAAATTTTATTCACCACTATTTTTCACTCGCCATTTATTTCCAAGAGAAAAACTGATGCTAGAGCTTATTCTTCTATCAAGAGGTTCAGGCAGGAAGTGAGAGAATGGCATTGAGTTAGCATATCAGCCATGACCAAACTGAATGGACTAGGCTTGACTGGTCAAATGGCCTACTCCCCCTGTTTTCCATGGTTTTATGTTTCTATGAATTTTCTGGCACACCCAAGGACCAAGGCAATATTTAGCTATCAAGGATATCACCTGAAATAGGCATTGGATTTGTTAATATACACACTGAGTTTCTATATCAGCTGTAGGACCTCAATTGTGGCATTCAGGTTGCAATGGACAAAAGCATATATCGCAAATACTCATCCTACTTGTACCAGGCAGTCAGCCAGAGCAAAAACAGCAATTCTCAAAAAGGATCGGTGGAGGGTTGCTCAAAGCAGAAGTATTCAGGCTGACACAAAAATCTAAGAGCACAGTCAGCTTGCCAAAGACGCTTGATTAATCTGATTCCTTTTTTTGAAGAGGAGTATCATATTTATAACCCCTTAGTTTTATGGCATCACTCTTAATCTAAGGACAATTCAAAGAATCTCTGTTATTTTCACCTGCACTACCTTTGTTAACCTATTATGCATCCTATCCTAAACCAGATGACATTCCTACTTTAAATGGGTCTTAATTTTTAGGCACTTTCTCTTTATTTTTATTCGATGAATTTCTCTACTACTTGTCTTTTTTCCAAGATATGGCAGAATTTTCTTGTATGAAACTGGATGCAAAATCCTGACTGAGTTCATCAGCTATCTACAAAAATAAGTACTAATTTAACACCACCTTAAGCATAAATACTTCCAATTCACACCAGTTCAAGCAGTTTATTTCCTTCTCTGAAATTCTACTAGCAACCTGATAGCAGTATGCTGCAGCAGAGAGGGAAGTGTCTCACTCATTCTCTTTTTGTCATGATATGTTTGTGACCACACTTCAAACTGTAAATGTTAGAAATGTAATTGTTTAACTTCACATGTAAAGACAGTACACATTTATACCATTACCCTGTCTGCACTTTTATTCGTCAGGTGTTACCGACAGAATTTGCAACATTTTTTTTCTAGTAATTAACACAATTGACTGAATAAATAAACTGTTCTAATGCTGAAATTTTCCAGCATCAAGAAAAATTATTACTAAAGTAAGTGTGACAATGTAAAAGTATTGAAAATTCCATTTTACCTGTCAGTGAGTGGGGTGATGACCAGACGACCAGTGTTTCCCAAGTATTCATACCCGTAGAGAAATTCAGCATTCACTGCGCATACGCGGAGATCATTCTGTGACCAATAATATCTGAAAGGCAATTTTGAATGCTCCAACACCAATGCTACAAAAACATATATCGTATAATTTGTTTACTTATTCAACTCAGTTTTATTAGCTGGCTGGGATTCAGAAAATCGGCAGAGTGAACGTTCAGAACTGTGCAAGGATTTTGTATTTTGTGCTTTCCCACATAGAAATCCACTTCACCTGCAATGTAGAAGGCATTGTACCACATTATTAAATTATTTAGCATTGCGTTTCCTCTCCCGAATCAGGAGCCTGAACCCAATTCAGAGAAAAAGTCATATATGACTTGAAACATGAACTCTGTTTGTCCTTCTATAGACGGTGTCTCCACAGTTTCCAGAACCATCTATGTTAGGAGTTTGGAAATTATGTATGTAAATCCATGAGGCATGGTAAATTAGGTTGCTGAGCTGTAGATAAAAATTGCCACATGGGCTTATGATAAAGCAGCATTAACCTGTAATTAGCTCAAACAAAGAGAAGAATGGGGATTTAATATTCCCGGTTACAATGTATTTTTATTTTTTATTCACTCGCAGGCCAGGCAACATTTCTTGCCCATCCCTAGTTGCCCTTGAGAAGGTGGTGGTGAGCTGCTTTCTTAAACCGCTGCAGTCCACCTGCTGTAGGTTGATCCACAATGTTATTAGGGAGGGAATTCCAGGATTTTGACCCAATGACAATGAAGGAATGGCAATATATTTCCAAGTCAGGATGGTGAGTGACTTGGAGAGGAATTTGCAGGTGGTGGTGTTCCTATGTATCTGCTGCCCTTGTCCTTCTAGATGGAAGTGGCAGTGGGTTTGGAAGGAGCTGTCTAAGGATCTTTGGTGAATTTCTGAAAGGATCTTGTAGATGGTACACACTATTGCTACTGAATGGTGGTGGAGGAAGGAGTGAATGTTTGTGGATGTGGTGACAATCACGCCAGCTGCTTTGTCCTCGATATTGCCATGCTTTTTGAGTGTTGTTGGAGCTGCACCCGTCCATGCATTTGGGGCGTATTCCATCACACCCCTGACTTGTGCCTTGTATGGTGGACAGGCTTTGGGGAATTACCCGCTGCAGTATTCCTAGCCTTTGACCTACTCTTGTTGTCTCTGTGTTTACATGGCAAGTCCAGTTGAGTTTATGGGCAATATTAACCCCCTCTGGATGTCGATAGTGGTGAATCAGTGACGGTAACACCATTGAATGTGAACAGGCTGTGGTCAGATTGTCTGTTATTGGAGATGGACATTTCTCTAATATTTGTGTGGGGTTACTTGCCACTTGTCAGCCCAAGCCTGTATATTGTCCAGATCTTGTTGCACTTGAACAGGGACTGCTTCAGTTTTCGAGGAGTTGCGAATGGTGGTGAACATTATGCAATCGTAGCTGAACATCCTCATTTCAACCATATGTCAGAGGAAAGGTATTGATGAAGCAGCTGAAGATGGTTGGGCCCAGGACACTACCCTGAGGGACTCCTGCAGAGATGTCATGGAGCTGAGATGATTGATCTCCAACAACTACAACTATCTTCCTATGTGTCAAGGGAGGATGGTAGGTAACCTGAAGCTATGAGAATTCATGGGGTCCGCAGTCAATATTGAGGGCCCTTAGGGCAACTCCCTCCTGACTGAATCCCATTACGCTTCCCTGCTGGGTCTGTGCTGCCTGTGGGACAGGACATATCCCGGGTTGGTGATAGTGGTGTCTGGGACATTGTCTGTAAGGTATCATACTCTGAGTATGACTATGTCAGGCTGTTGCTTGACTAATTTGTGAGACAGCTCTCCTCATTTTGACACTAGCCCCCAAATGTTCATGAGGAGGTCTTTCCAGGGTTGACGGGGTTGTTTTTCCCATTGTCTTTTTCACTGCCTAGGTTGATGCCAGGTAGCCTGCCGGTTTCGTTCCTTTGTTGAGACTTTCTCACAATTGATACAACAGAGTGGCTTGTAAGGCTATTTCAGAGGGCAGTTGAGAGCCAACCATGATGTTATGGCTCTAGAGTCACATCTACATTCCAGGCCAAGTGAGGATGGCTGATTTCCTTCCCTGAAGGACATTTGTGAGCCTGATAAGTTTCCGAACAATCGACCATGGGTTTATGATCATCAGTAGATTCTTGATTCCAGATTTTTTTAATTGAATATGAAACAACGAAAAGGAAGGAGAATGGTAGCATTGACCAAAGATACCATTACAATGCTGGAAAGGGATAATCTGTTTGAGTGTTCAAAATCAAATATATTTGGCTCTAATTAAAGATTGAAGAGGAGCTATTAAATTTCTGACTGCATATATAAGCCACCAAATAATGAGAAAGAAAATAGAGGAGTGAATTTTCTAGAAGATGCAGGAATTTTAGAGAAGCAACAATGGGAGCTTCAATGATCCTAATATAGACAAGGAAAATAATAATGTAAAAGACAAAGAGGATGAGAAATTCCTGAAAAGTGTACAAGAAAACCTTTCTGATCAATATGTTTCTGATTCAACGAGGAAGGAAACATTTCTCGATTTAATACAGTAAAGGGACATGAGGTGGGGTAAATAAAGCATGTTTTAATTGCTGAGCATTTGGAAAAGTGATTATAAGATCATTAGATGTGACATAGTTGTGAAAAAGGAAAGAGAATCACGTGAAAATAATAAATGTTAAAACTGTTAGGAGGCAGACTGGAAACTTTAAATTGTATGCAACACTCGCCTTCCTTATCATAGTTATGGTGGACCTCAAAGCAGTTAAAGGTAAAACTGATCTACATGAGAAAAAATAATTCATATGGGAACTGACGTGCAATATAATAAACAATTGTTCACACACTGTGTTGGGAATCTGGATAAACAGTAAATGTGGATAGCAATGTTCAGTGTAAGGGCGTTTATGTTAATCATGTGGTGTTTGATCTTGTAATCTGATTTGCTATTTACCATTTCGGAAAACTGCTTCTACTGCTAGCAAATTTACAAAGACTATCTACTAAGTTTCTTTTCTGAAAGGCTTTAAACATTGCATTATGTACATGTTTCAAATCAGGAGAGTAGGTGAAAGAACCATTTGATTTCTAGTACACTGAATAACCATGACGGTAAACCACTGATCTCTGTTGTCTATCATTTAAATTGATCTTATAATAAAACAGGCACTTACCGAAGCTGGCTGATCCATTCAAAGTCATTCACACTTTGAACATTTTCCTCCAGGAGGTTAGCCACTACGTCCTTCGCATGTACTTCAATCACAATCAGTGCTGATAATATTGTTCTTTGCATTCTTGTCAGCTTCCCTCTCACGAGACCCACCAAATCATTCAGCTATTTTTTAGAAAATGAAATTTAGACGTCATACAAAAGAAACATTGGGCTAATCAGCATTCAGTTCTGAAGTAGTACCTGAGAATTGTGAGAAAGAACCAACACTTGAGATAAATATTTTAAAAACTATTTAAAATGTTAATAAAATTAGAAGTAAAAAATAACCAAACCCAAGTAGTAAATGGCCTAGAATGTTTGAAGGAGGTTGGGAAGGAGATGGGTGCAGGGACAATTATCACTTACTGAACTTTTTAGAAGCAGGCATAGTGCCAGAGTATATTTCTCCATAGTAGGGCAAAAGAGATAAGCTAAGAAAAAACTGTTAGCCTTACATCAATTGTAGGGTATTCGAACCAGGTAAGGAGGGGTGAATTGCATGGGACTATACCCCTCTCCAATTAAAATGAGTTAGCTAATTTTCAATGTAGCTGCAATGAGCTAATTACAATGTTTTCTTGCATAATTTTGCTACCTGCTAACCCTGAAAAAAATGATAAAGTCTCAATGTCAAGCATACACACAGGTGTTAAAAAGGAACAGTATCTCATACAAAAAAGATTAAAGAATGTACAGTGTGTAGTCCTTAGGGAGTCCTTGAGGCGTAAGGTTTTAAACCAAAACTACGGTTGTTTAATTGATGTCTTAGATTAAGTATTGCAATTATCCATGAGTTCTCAATGTTCTTATGTTCCTTTTTGTCCGTATTATCACTGGGCACTTTCTTCTTAAGAAGCAAAGAGGGACCTTTTCCCAGCTAGTTTCAGTTCTGCAGTCCAAAATCTGTCTTCTTCCGTCACAAGTAATCACAAGTTTGTTTGTGTATTTCCATGCTTAAGTTTATTGTCTGCAAGCTTGATAATTACAGGCAATGTTTTCATCTCCAACATGTGAACATCATGAAAGGTATAAGTAAAGTTAGGGGATCAATGCCTTTTTGCACCTTCTGAGGGTGTTGCTGGTGGTTTCAGTGCCTTTGGATAAAGTGTCAATTTCAGCTTGGCTGTCTATTGTCAAATCCACCTGGATTTGTTTTATAGACATTTTTAATCAACCTGTTACAACACATGTCTGGGGCAGGTAGGACATGAACCTGGGCCTCCTGGTCCAGTCAAATCCACTTTGAAACTCAGCCACTTGTGCTTTGGTGATGTCTGTGGCCATTTTAAGTCAATATTTTTAGTTGTTTTTTAAAAATAATTTCAGTCCATTAAAGTTCCAAGTGTCAAATCAGACAAAGAAATTAAAAATCAATAGTTCATATTTTGCATTATCATCAAAGAGTTAACCCCAGGATAACATAAGAGAAGTTTCAGAAAGGCACGAGCTGATTAGTGAAATAGCATGAATTTGATAAATTCAATGAAATATGAGGGTCATATTAAGGGAAATGAATTTTCAGCAGGCATTTGATAAGGTGCCATTTTGGTCACTTATTACAAATATATGGGAACTTTGAATTATCATGGAACTCTGTTCAATACTTATATACTGATTTTGCAAACATTAATTTTTAGGTTATAGTACCACAGAAAGGAAAAACTTGTAATAGGTACCCAGTAAATTAAGTCTTCAACATAGTTGAACAGATAATGTATTCTTCCTGAGCCATGAAATAAGTTTCCCCTGTTGACAATAGGAGCTTTATACTGAGCTTGATGGTCATTGAGCACAGAAAACACAAGAAATCGGGGGCAGTATACTCCATCTGAACTTTACTCTCCATTGAAGTTAATGGGGAGGAATAATGGTCAAGATGTAAAACTAGTGTTCCACCTGATTTTATGTCAGCCCCACCTAGTGAACTAGGTTGACATTAAGTCCTAATGTCTGCAGTTATATTAATGCCGCTTGACCACGTATTTTGCCCAGGGTGAAGCAGCATCTTTAGGAAAGGAACAGAAAAATAATTTAGAAAGAAATATACCTTCGGTGACACTAACCACACTTGTGACCAGACCTGTAATCATAGAAACCTCAGTCAATTTATAACAAGACTTATCATCAAGTACCACCTGGAGTGAATCTGTGATAAGGTCCATTACTATACACTACCTGCATTCAATTCTGAATAATGCATATGAGACAGGATCAGAAAAGATCTAACAACTCAAAACTGGACATCCATGAGGTGTTATGGGCAATCAGTAGCATCAAAATGGTATTCCATCAAAACCTGTAATTTTGTGGCCCAGCATATTTCTAAACTCTACCATTGCTGTCAAAGGGGCAGCCTTGCTACAAACAGCAATGTGTAAGAAAAAGCCAGTAATACTAGCACAGGCATACTCATAAGCATGATGTCAACTTGGTAAAACTATAAGCACCAATGTGTATTAAACAGTAGAAGTAGCATTTTACAGACAGAACTAGGCAATCACACAACCAACAGATCAAATCAACACATTGTAGTTATGACACATCCAATCACGCTTGATGGTTAACAAATTGACTGAAAAAAACAGGAGCAGATTCCTTAATGATTGCAGAGCTCAGTCTGTCAATACAAAAAAAATTGGCTGAAGTATTTTCAACCATCTACAGTTAGACGTACCAAGTAGATGATTCATCTCCGCCTCCTCCTGAGCTCCCTGTCATTATAGACCTGCAGTCGATTTAATTTATTCTATGTGGTATCAAGATACAGTTGGGAACATTGGATACAGCAAAGGCAATAGGCCCTGACAAAATTTCAGCTGTAGTGCTTAAGACTGTGGCCCAAAATTAGACATGCTCCCAGTCAAGCTTTTCCAGTACAACAATAAAAACGGCATCTGTGCATTAACATGGTTCATTGAGCTGTGTCCTGTCCACAAAATGCAGGACAAATCCAATCTGCCAATTATTTCTCCATAAAACTGCACTTAATTATCAGCAATGTGATGAATGATACCAATTGACACAGTCACCAAAAACCTGCTTACTGCTATACTCAGTTCAGGTTTTGTAAGGATCATTGAACTCCAGACGTTATTAGAGCTTGGTCAAAACATGAACAAATGAGCTGAGGTTAGAGTGATGTTCCTTGACATCAGGGAAGCATTTGACCAAATGTGGTATCAAGGAACCAGAGAATCAAGGGAAAACCTCTGCACAAGCTGGAATCACATCTAGCACAAAAGATAGATAAATGGTTTTTGGAGGTCAATCATCTTAGCCATCAATATTGCTGCAAAAATTCCTCAGGATAATGTCCTGGGCCAAACCATCTTCAGTTGTTCCATCAATGGCCTTACTTCCAGCGAATCAGAAATGAGGTGTTCATTGGTGATTGTACGGTATTCAATACCATTTCTAACTTCTCAGATTCTGAAACAGTCTGTCCTCCAATGCAGAAAGACATGGAAAATATTCAGACTTGGTCTGATAAATGGGGAATAACATTGGGGCCATATGAATGCTAGGTAATGACCATCTCAAACAAAAGAGAATCCAACCATCTTCCCATGACAGTTAATGGTCTTACTATCACCGATTCTCTCACCATCAACAACTTGGATTACCTTTAAGCAGAAATGAACTGGAATAACCATATAAATACTCTGTCTGCAAGAACACCCATTTACTCCACCACTGCCACCACGCATGACAGCACTGTTTACCAATTACAGGATGCACTGCAGCAATTTGTCAATTTGACAACAATCCCATCCCAAACATTTTTTTTTTAAAAAAAGGTCATTTCTCTGATTGATCTTCTATTGCAGTTTCTCAGTCCAGCACTCCTGTTTAATTGTTTACTTTAGGTAGGTGTTCTGAGTCAAGAGTACCAAGAAAAGCAACCAGTTGAACACCAAGAATATAAGATTCAAGCATTACATGTTTTCAAATTATTGAAAAGCTTGTAAATAAACTTATTAGCAAAATGACCAATATGAAGTGGCACTATTACCACTTTAATATTTATCCCTGCATGTTACAGTACTGTTATTAGTTACTTGTTTTGACGTAATATTTATATTAAATATACCTTCATTATTAAAAGTTGACTGCAAAGTAATTTACAGGCAATTACTGTGAACTTGTGGTTAGAACAAACAGATAACTATGCAAGAAATATGCAGGATACATGCACAATAGTCATTCCATAGCATATACCAGTGTTCTACATTTTAACTACCAGTAGGCAACATACAAACCTGACTGCCAAGTTTTGGGAAGAGTCTGCTTCCCAAATCTCCTATCTGTAGTGCTTCAGATACCTCCATGGTCCAGAAGGTCTGGCAGCCTGCAATAACAACCTGACCAGGCCAGATCAGGACCCATTCTGCACGTTTGGTCTACAAAAAACAGCATTGTGTTAGTGTATACATAGAGTATATTATTCAATAACAATCAGACAGCTCCAACTGGCAGCATGAGAAGCTGATTTAACACTTAAAAAGACCTCAGAACTTAACAATTCTGCAAGTACCATTTAATTGACCAAGTGGTCATTGCATTCTATTGCATTGGCTCCAAGGGAAGACAGCAGAAGCATACAGCAAACTAGATAGGTTTCTTTCAAAGAAGTAATATTTTGGAATATATTATACAAGTAATTTGTGTTTTAACAGGTGGGACCTGGTTAGGAGGAACAGGTGACTTTTTTGCCAAAGTTCTCTACCACTGGCAGGGGTAATTTCATATCAGGATCTGTTGTAGATTAATTGATAGAGATTGATTTCTATGATGGTTAGAAAGTAAACCAGATGGACTGTGATTTCGTTTTCGAGAATTTTTTTTAGAAGTATGCAAAAATTCCTATTTTCGCCTATTCCTAAGGAATTTGTCTCAGTTATCAAATATAAACTTCATCTAATTGAAAATAAACAGTTGTGACATGACTTTACTTTATTGATGCTTTTATCTGAAGTTTTTTTTCTTAATACTTGCATGAGATCTAGGTGTCACTGGCATGTGTCATTGTCTATCCCAAATTGCTCTTGAATTAAACAGTCTACTGAGCCATTTCAGACAGTCAATGAAGAGACACAATTTGCTATAGATCTGGGGGTTCACATGAAGGCCAGATTAGGAAAGACGCCAGCTTTCCTCCATTAGTGAACAAGAAGAGTTTGTACCATTGAGAATCGATGGTAGTTTCATGGTCATCATCTCTGAGATTAGCTTTCAATGTCCTGATTTTATTCACTGCACTCAAATTCCACCAGCTGCCATGACAGGATTTAATTCAAGTGCCTAGAGCAATTGCCTGGTATTCTAGACTACTGATCCAGTGACATTACCACTATGCCACCATCAACACCAACCCCCAAAAAAAATTAAGAACGTAAAAAGATACAGGGAAGAGAATTGGAGTGGAGAGCAGAATGGTTGGGGGACCGCGAGATGTGGCAGTCAGCAATTCCATTACGTTGTTGCCAGTGCAAAATGTACTTAACAGGGCAGATGAAGTTTGTCTTCTTATTTGGTCATCTATAGGGACAGAACATTCTGATAAAATTAACAATGCTGAATATTTGTTTGGGAGGGAAGTTGGATCATTTAATTCTGTAGGGCATGAACTAGTAATCAGAGGAATTTGAACTGGCATATTGAAATGATAAGACAAACAAGATCTACTTGACTATGAATTCAGTTAAGTGTACCTTAGATCTTAACTTGGGAAGTGTGGCTTCTTTAAGGACCACTAGTCTGCATCTGGGGCAGATTTTGCCTGAATGCAGTGAGCGGTGTCTGCTTCAGGCCAAACTAGTGTTACAAGTGGTAATTCAAACTGATGTTACATTCCTTATTAGTGTAAGCAAATGGTCTCACACCTGTTGGATATCTTGACCTTCATCAATAGGGGTGGGAATTTTAAAAAACATTTTAATTTGTTTTTAAATTTAACCTATTTTTCTAATCAACCTGTTTAGAGATGTTATTACACACCTCTGGAGCAGGTGGGACTTGAGTCCACGCCTCCCAGTCGAGTAGTAGGGATACTACCACTGTGCCATAACAGCTCCCCACCATAAAAATGGTGTGAGTTGTGGTGCAGTGGTAGTGTCCCTACCTCTGGACTGGGAGACCTCGGCTCAAGTCCCACGTGCTCCAGAGGAGTGTAATAACATGTCCAAACAGGTTGATGAGAAAAATAATTTCATTTAAAAAAAAGGTGGGAGTTAGGGAGTTCTTATGGCTCAGTGATAGAGTCCCTATCCCTGGACCAAGAGGCCACGATTCAAGACCCACCTGCTCCAGAGGTGTTGAATAACATCTGTGAACATGTTGATTAGAGAAATACATTAAATTAAAAAAATTGTCGGAGTTGCACTTTCAATTCACAACTAATCAAAAGAAAAATACACTTATATGGTATCTTTCAAATCATGAACACGTAAAAGCGCATTACAGTTAATTAATTGCAATATTTTCAAAGTGTAGTCACTATTGTAATGTCGGAGACATAGGAGCCAATCTCTGCACATAAAGGTCTACAAGCAGCCAAGTAATAATGACCAAATAATCTGAATTTATTATGTTGATAAAGGGATAACTATTGGCCAGGGCGCTGGGGATATCTCTCCTGCTCTTTGGAAGAGTGCAATGGGACTAATCCAGTCCAGGAAACCTGGTTGGCATGGACAAGTTGGGCCAAAGGCCTGTTTACATGTTGAATGACTCTATAGGATCTTTTTAGCCCATCTGAAAGGCTGATAAAACCACATCTTAATGTCTCATCCAAAAGATTGCACTTCCATCAGTGCCCCTTTGTCCCACAGTTAGAAACTTTTGCTATAAGGAAATTCTTTGGGAAAAGCTGGCAAATTAATACTCCAAGGTAGCAGAATAATCTGAAAGATATGCAGCCAATAACTTAAAATGCCTCAATTGTTGTTTGAATTGAATGTATTCATCTTCATTTCTAATTCTGTGACATTGTTATTCATCTAGGTTAAGCACAATGGTATCAGCTCTTTCTCCTTTGTGCAAAAATATGAATGTTTTCTCTGGTACAGGGAAGGTAAGTTTTGATTTAATTTTTTCAGAGTCTTGATAGCAATATTCAAGCTTTGATAGAAATTTGGTGTCTTTTTTAAAACATGTCTTTAATAGCAGGATTCCTTCCCTAAGGCAGCACTCTATACAATGACATTGCACCTACTCTCAATAAAATTTCAAGAACCTGAGGGCCTTAATTGATTGTAGCCCAGGTGATTTCATGCTGATGATCATGTATGTATTCACCTGATATCTTTTGCTTGCCTGGATTATATAGAATACACTAATTTCTTGCAGTATATTTAATAACAGCTTGCCTACAATGTAAAAGACAGTAGAGGTAGGTGCTAAGCAATCATAAGTTAATTAGGGAGATGACAATAAGTGCAGCCATAAAGATAGGTTTTAGAGGAACCTTTTAAATGTAGAACAATATGGATGGATTCAGGGAAGATGTTACAAAATAGGTGCAAGGTGACTGAAGGAAGGAAAAGAGAAAATATTAGCTGGAACTTGTGGTTGATAGGGATAGATTGGGTGAGGATTTTAAATTAGGTTGAGAGCTTTTAACATGATGGACTCGAATTTGATGGAGGTCTGCAAGGACAGTGGTGATGGACAAATGGGATTGGTCAGTTTTAAGGCAATTGAAGTTTGAGTCTGATGGTGTTCAAGACGCTAGCATTATAAAAGTTGAGTTTGAAGGTAACAGAAGTTGAATCAAGTAAAGAAGATGTTGATTATGTAAATTAGGGACACGATGCAAATGATGAGACCTTGGAAAGAAAACATATTTGAATTTATATGGTGGGTTTTATAGTGATTGTAATGAGGTCAGCCAAGTGTACATCATAGAATATGACTTCCTTGATTGGACCAGATTAACAGCCCCAATCAGGGAGCCCTGGCTGACAGATATAAACAGGAGTGCCAGAGGTTCTGTTCACTCACAGCTGACTCTCAAGGAGCTGGATCAGTGCCAAGGGCTATCCACGTGTAAATAAAAGGTAACTTGGTGACAGGATAATGGCCTCTGTGGAATTATTTCAGTGGGATTAATGTTGTAACCATGCAAAACTGCCAACTAGCTAAAACACAATTGGACTTCAAACTGCACTCCAACCAATGCAGCAAGTGGAGCATATGAGTTGTGAGGTATTCCAATGGAAGTGGACATCCTTACCAGTCAGACTCAGCTTGGGGAATACCACTTGAGTGAAGGCAATTGCATAGCCTCACTCAGGACATATCCTGAACAGAGGAACTCTAGGTCAGCCCACAGCAAAACCCCAAAACAAACCAAGCCTTGGCCAAACAGTTAAAATTTTCTTCAGAATCCAGGCTGGCAAGCCATTGTAGTTGCTGCCAGTATGCAAACTTGAGACAACAAAACAGTCCCACTTGACCTAAACTGAGTAAGAGAACTCGTAGGTTGGTATCCAGGATAGTGCACACCCTAGAAACCTACATCTGGTTTGGAACAGTTAAATTACTTAGCGACATCCAAATAAAAACCAATCAAAATAAATGCCTGATTAAATGGTCACCTGGTTCTAATGGTGGTCGATACCAGCACAACCATTTCAGTGATCGCAAAACCAGCCTTTAACAAAATTTGCTCTGGAGTCTGACCCTTAAGTTTACATAAGATCTTGGCTACACTGAGAACCTATACTGGAGAACCTTTACAGATTACGGGTACAATTTCAGTTCCGATCTTTTATGAGAAGCAGCTGGTTCAGTTACCACTGATTGTAGTAAAAGGCTCGGGCCTAAGCTAGAAGGGGCAATGATAAAGGGATTTTTTGTTACAATTTGTTTTCAGGAATGATTCAATCTCACTGCAAAGACTATGATCTGTTATTCATATATTACATACAAAATAAACTAATTTGTTGATTTACAATTGGCCTTGTCTCACTTCAGTACTGCTTAGTCCAACTCCTGAAGATGAAAGAATTATATGTAGCTATGTACATAAGTTCACAGCGGTCATAAAAGCCAAAATAACTCCACAGAGGCTAATATCCCGTCACCAAGTTACCCTTGCTGAGATATTATTATCATTGATAGCTACAGCGCGGTGCCGGAAAACTGAAGGGTGGCTAATGTGGTGCCATTATTTAAGAAAGGTGGTAAGGAAAAGCCAGGGATCTACAGACTGGTGAGCCTGAAGTTAGTGGTGGGTGAGTTGTTGGAGGGAATCCTGAGGGACAGGATTTACATGTATTTGGAAAGGCAAGGGCTGATTAGGGATAGTCAACATGGCTTTGTATGTGGGAAATCATGTCTCACTAACTTGATTGAGTTTTTTGAAGAAGTGACAAAGAAGATTGATGAAGCCAGAGAGGTGGACTTTGTCTATGTGGACCACCAAGGCACTCAAAAAGGTTCCACATGGTAAACTGTTTTTTAGCAAGGTTAGATCACATGAATCTGGGGAGGGCTAGCCATTTCAAGACAAAATTAGATTGAAGATAGGAGACAGAGGGTGGTGTTGAAGGGGTGTTTTCCAGACTGAAAGTCTGAGACCAGCAGTGTGCCACAAGAATCAGTGCTGGGTCCACTGTTTTTTTATCATTTATATAAATGATTTGTACATGAATATAGGAGGAATGGTTAGTAAGTTTGCAGATGACACCAACTTGGTGGTGTAGTGGACAGTGAAGACGGTTATCTCAGAGTACAGTGGGATCTTGATCAGATTGGCCAAGGAGTGGGTGATGGAGTTTAATTTAGATAAATTGAGGTGCTGCATTTTGGTAAGGCAAGTTAGGGCAAGATTTATGCACTTAATGGTAGGGTCCTGTGGGGTGTTGCCAAACAGAGACCTTAGGGTGCAGTTTCATAGTTCTTTGAAGGTGGAGTCACAGGTAGACAGGGGCATTTGGTACTCTTGCCTTCATTGGTCAGTGCATTGAGTAAAACAGTTGGGATGTCAAGTTGTAGCTGTACGGGACATTAGTTAGGCCACTTTTGGAACACTGCATTCAATTCCAGTCTCCCTGCTGTTGGTAAGATGTTGTTAAACTTGAATGAGTGCAGAAATGATTGAAAGGGATGTTGCCTAGGGTTGGAGGGTTTGAACTTTAGGGAGAGTCTGAATAGGCTGCGGTTATTTTCCTGGAGCATTGGAGCATGAGGGGTGATCTAACAAAGTTTTATAAAATCATGAGGAACATGGATAGGGTGAATAGCCAGTCTTTTTCCCAGGGTGAGGTAGTCCAAACCTAGAGGGCAGGTTTAAGGTGAAAGGAGAAAGATATAAAAGAGACCCTAGGGGCAACTTTTCGATGCAGACGGTGATGCATGTATGGAATGAGTTGCCAGAGGAAGTGGTGGAGGTTTGTAAAATTACAACATTTAAAAGGCGTCTTGATGGGTGCATGAATAGGAAGGGCTTACAGGGATAGGGGCCAAATGCTGGCAAATGGGACTAGATTAATTTAGGATATCTGGTTGGCACAGACGTGTTGGACTGAAACGTCTGTTTCAAACGCTGTACAACCCTATGACTATGACTCTATGACTTCAACAGCTCTGTGGAGACCTGCTCACCAAACTGCCAATCAAATTTGCATTTTGAATGAGATATCTTCCTCCTTGATAGAACACCTATGGTAATCACATTGTCCTATTTAAGCTTCCTGCTGACAGCATCTGAGTGAAAATCATTCTAACATTACAATACAAATTGTGAGTAATGTCTTTTTGGAAAATACTTTGGTCTTAATATTATAAGAATATTTTGTGATATATACCACATTTTAGTGCGGTTGTTATCTTATTTGTGTCTTAGTCACAATCTTCGATTTATTCATGAAGAAAATTCTTTTATTCTTCCAGAAAAACCATCTGGAGCACCAATGTAATTAACACCCTGCAGAAACAATTTCCCAATCTATTACTCAGTAGAGACAGGTGAAGGGGCCAATGAAACAACATCAACGCTTTCTCTTACCTCTGGATATGTTTTCAATGATCGTTCAATGTTATCTTTCACACTCTCCTTCATAACCTTTTCTACATCCAGCAGCCAATCCTCCACATTTCCAGTAGGATAGATTGTTCTAAAGAGTTCAATTTCCTCTCCTTCTGCAGAGTACATGTGTGTGATGTTGAGGTCCTCCTGGAAATGTAACTATTAAATAGAAAATATTAAACCTTCACAATAAAACAGCAAAATTAGAAAACAAAAATAAGCTAATGTAAAGTTGTTTTAAATCAGAACTGGATTTAAACAGGCAATAATTAAGCAGGGAGGTCTCAGAACTTTCTGCTTCCCTAAGAACTTGTAGAAACTATGTATTGCCTTGCATAAGGCTTTACTATGACTGAGTCTCACCTTATTAATGAAAGCGGAACAGAATTTGGTGATAAATGTAAAATGTGGCTCTAGTGCACCAAAAAACATGTTTTGGGTTGCGACATTGTTAAGTTAATATAGAGACATTTGCTCCTTTAGGTAGACATCCATCCTCCTCTTTCTTGATCTTTCAGATTTGACACAATTAACCGCACTATCATTCTCCACTGCCATCCAGCTGGATGGGACTGCACTTGTCTACTTCAATTCTTATCAATTTAGTTATAACAAAAGTATCAATTGTAATGGCTTCTCTTCCACTCCTATACCATTACCTCTGGTGTGCCTCATGGATGTATCCTTGGCCCCCCCTGTTTATCACCTATACGTAGCCCATGGTGATATCATTAAAATGAAAAAAGCCAATTTTCACATGTACTGTATGCCGATGATAGCAGCTCTTGGTCATCACTATATTTCTTGGATTCTCTGCTGCTAATAAATTATCAGATTGTTTATCTGACATCCATTAGAAATTTTCTCCAGTTAAATATTTGGAAGACTGAAGCCATGCGCGTCCAGTCTCTGCTTCAAACATCATTCCCTAGCTACTGACTCCATCCCTCACGCTGGCAACTGTCTAAGACTAAACCAGATTGTGTGCAGTTTTGGTGTCATATGTGTCTGTAAGATGAATCACACATCTATGCCATCACTAAGGCTGTCTATTTCCCATGTTGATAATCTTGCCTTCTCCTGATATTTTCCTTACCTCAACACATCTGCTGCCTATGTCCTTACCCATACAAAGTCCTACTCATTTTATTGCCACTACACTCAGTTCTATCTTGACTCTAAATCGAGGATCGTCTTAATTTTAAATCTTATTCCTGTTTTCAAATCTATTAAGGGTCTCATTCCCTTCCTCCCTCTGTAATCTCTTCCATACCCACAAGCCTCTAAAGTATCTGTGCCCATTTAGTTCTAGCCTTTTGACCATCCCTGATTTTGATTGCTCCACATAATGCCCTCTCTACATGTCCCCAACTTTCTATCTTCCTTCAAGACATTCCTTAAAATCTACCCCTTCAGAACACCCTTTTTAACAAACTGCCCTAATGTTGTCTTAAATGGTATCATGATTAATTTAACTTTTTTACACTTCTATGAAGTATCTTGGAATGTTTTATTACAAATAAAGTGCTATATAAATATGTTGTTTACCCTGAACCTGCAAGTGTTTGATGTTTGCATGATGTTTACATTGGGTATCTTAATTTTGATTGCAAAAAGGTATTAAGCTTAAGACACAGAAAATAGTAGACAATTTGTTTGGTTTTGGATGCTGACACACAGAATCACAGAATCGTTACAGTGCAGAAGGAAACCATATGCTCATTATGTCTAATGTGCATTATGACAGTGTCATTCTCATCGATTTAGTTGGCTTTTTTGAGGAAATGATAAACTTGCTAGCCCTTTGAAGGCCAGTTAATGGTGCATTTCTTTAGAAAAGTTATATGACAAAATGCCCCGTTGAAGGCCATTAAGCAACACTGAGCTTTGAGGCACTGATGGGCATGTTTTGAACTGAGTAAGGAATTGTTAACGTTTCTATTTCCAGAAGGTTGTTATTAATGATAGAGGCTCTGTTTGAGGATCAGCAATTTTTGGAGTTTAACAAGGATTAAATATTAGTTTATTTGAATGTAATTTTTCTTAGGCCACATTATAAATTATAACCAGTTTTTGTCCTCTCAGAAGGTGGAGAATATAGAGACCCTATAAAAGGTTTGGAGGTGGGCCTGTAGTTGTCAGGACACACTCTGTTGGCTGGGCTAAGATATCTCCCTGAAAAATACATTCTGAATTATCCCTTACAAAATTTAACTTTGGAAATGAGTTTTAAAAAATACTGCGCTGTCTGTTCCCCTGACTAGGAATTAACTCAAGCTTTCTTCATGTTATTCTTCATGCTTATAACTAAAGCATGTTTATAATATTGTTTTATTCATCAAGATAATCAGACATTTGTGCTGGGATTGGAACACTTCCAACACCAAACATCATAACCAGGAATTCCTAAATCATCTTGGAACATTTAGACACTTAGTAAAGCTTCCTCTACTCTGCTTCAGCCCTAACCTCAGAAAAGCTGCTCTTACTGCAATAGAGTGGCATTAAAAAAAAGTCCCAGGTAGGCATCCTTTGGTGCCTGAGCATGTTTAGTGCCAGCTAAAATGATGGGCAATGTTTTGTTTGGTGCTCCCTTGCCCAGCACAAGCTAGATTATGACCCTTTAAATTCATTTTACAGAGGGACTCTACAGCCACTGAAAGAGGTTCCCAGACATAGAGATTTAGCACTTAGCCACTGTGCTTTAGCTTCCTTTATTTCTTTCTTTATGACTTACTTGAGCAATATTTTCAAAACACTTCCGCAGATGAGGCTGAACAGCAGTAGGATCTTTAGTCTGAGACAAGATCTCAAGTAGTTCATCATCTGATAGGAAGTAGAATCTGTAATAAAAAGAACTACAGTGTATAATTTCTGCTTTTTGTGCAATTTTATAATTACATTAACACACATACTTATCTACCTGTTGTATTTACCCTGGTGTCCAAGATGGAATTGTTATATACTTATTCCCTAACCTCCCACTTCTACTCCAAAGCTGATTGCTCTGTGACATTGCATGGAAGGAGTGTTAGTAAAATAAATGAATGGAGCAAATCCAGCGGGATCTGGATTGATTGTGCAAGGCATGGGCTTATGAATAATAGATTCTATTTAACGTGAAAAAATGCAATATCATGATTCTGGAGAAATACAAAGAGCAAATGAACATAAATTGCACCTGCACATTTGGAGGAGGGAACACAGGAGGGAAATCTGGCAGTATCTGATGAAAAGCTTGTTGATGCCATTAGCATGGTAACAGGTGGAAGAAGGAAAACCAAACAAGATGTTATGATTTATGGCTGGCATATTCCAAGATAATATATATTGTATGTCGAAAAATGCTTCGTCTCCACTTGGAGTAATCTGATTACCCTACAATAGCAAGGGCATTAATGTTAATGTTTAACGACAGAGAAATGTTACAAGGGGTGACTATTTGAAGCCTTTATGATTCCAGGACTATAAATAAACTGAACCCAATAAAACATTAACATACCATGAATTCTGAAGACAGGAAACACAGATATAGGATTAAAAAGAAATTTAATGCACAATGTATGTTTTTGTCAAAGCAATCCTGATGCAGAAAAGAGGTAGGCTAGGTATCTGTACAGCAGTGGAGTACAGAAGAGTCATCCTGAATATAGAATGGTGTCTATGTTTGCTACAAAAAGACAATTATTGGGTTTCCCTGAGAGATCCCTTCACAACTGCCTTTTTGAGCCTTGAGACATTGAGACGCTTCTGGACCTGCTTGCCCTGGCCACAGTTAGGTTGTTGTTCACAGAAAAAGCCCAAATTCTAGAAAGGTGACAGAGCACTTTAACCACACCCTCTTCATCAATCAACAAAAGCTGCCACAGGTTGCTATTAACTGCTCTCTTGATGATTCTTTCATAGGGTTAGAAATGATGAAAGCATCAAACTCCTGTCTAGCAACAAAGCTACAACAACTGATGCTAATCCAAATGAACAGTATGCAATTGCACCATCAGCCCAAATTTAAACTAATCTCTGAAGTGGGGTTCAAACCAGCAATCTAATGACTCAGATGAAATAGTGCTGTCATTGCACCACATTTGAAAAATTGTCTTAGGTTGAAATGGGTGGTCTCCAAGGAAAGACTTCATTTTAGTTGCTGAAATTTCTTCGCATTGACAGATATTGCTGAACTATTTTTAAGGAGGCCTTCCATTTTCTTTCACCCAGCTAATTTCATTTTCTCCAATTAAACTGATCCCATTCTAAGTTTGTTTCATAACCTAGCCCCTCTTACTCAGAAAACAAACACAAGTTCTACTACATAATCTCTTTTACCATCAACTCCAGAAACATTTTTTCACACAAAACTGGCGTTGAACAGAATATTAACCTCTTACCTTGGGAAGGAAGCTCTCTTTGTCTCCAGATATTCACTCAGACCTTTCTGTACAAGATCCAGTTGTTTGTTGCATTCACGTAAGTTGTCTAGTAACCTTGGTTCAGGACATGTCTCGATAACCTGTTAAAAGAATCTAAGATGTCAATCAATAAGCAATCTCCTCCTGAGCCCATGGTAACAAAGGCAAATAGCAGTGACAATCAATTTTGTACTATAGAATTTGCTCATTTTGAGTCCCAGAATGGGCTGCTTTAACAAAATCCTCCTATCTTCTCAAGGTCCAGTTGAAAATGTTTCATCAGATGTGGCCTCTTTTACATAACAACAGCGCTGTAGAGCCATTGTCCTTGCAGATCCGTTGGCATGTATGTGCAATGTCTTGATCCAGGTTATTTTCACAGCCTGTTACAATTTTTGCTTGATGGAAGATATTCAGTACATTTGATCCAAGTTCAATGCTTTTTAATTCAAGTATTGAATAGGCTCTGGCTCCTATCTACCATCTTTTCATTAATTCCAGAAATTAATTCCAGAATCTTCACTCCACAACATCAATTCAGATTTTTAAAGTACCTTTCAAGCACCAAAATATACTAAGGCATTTCACAGAGGCATTATGTGACAAAATCTGTCACTAAGCCATATAATGAGATAGTGGATAGTTGGCCAAAAGCTGGGTCAAAGAGGTAGGCTTAAAGGAAACACTTACAGGAGGAAAGAAAGGTGGAGAAGTGTACGAAGAAAAATCCAGTGTTTAAGGCCTGGTCAGCTAAAGATATGGTCACCAGTGGTGGAATCTTTAAAAGAGGAAATTCAAGAGATCCGAATTGGAAGATTTTTTAAAGCTGCAGTAGGTTATGGTGAGAAAAATGGGGATTAGCTATGGTGATATATAGTCACCAGGGTTTTATGGTGGGATTTAGACATTACAGTCTTGGAAGTAAAAAATAGGACCCAATCAACCTTTATGTGCTCTAGACAGAACTGATGATGAATGACTAAACAAATGGTCTACCATGTACATTAACCATATATATCTGTATCCCTTAATCTTAAGGAAGAAGAGATGGGGGCCGAACCAGGTTGGCCAGGGTGAAAGAAAGCACTAGTTTTAAGGGAGGTCTTGGGAAGATTTACAACAGCACTCTATCACAGTGAACAGAGGACAAACAGTTGGGTGACACTAGTGAATGTGGAAAGAATTTATTTTTGAGAATCAGACAGGGAAGAAGATAGAGTTGAGAGACATTTGCAAGTGATTTTGGATTGACACAAGGAAAGTATTGAGTGAAATGGCGAGGTCAAAGGAATGGCTGAGAATAGGGGTGGGCAGTTTATAGTTTAAAAGAAATAGGCATGATGAGTTGAGATGGAAGTTGAAATAATTGAGGATAAGATGATGCTCAGTGCAAGAGCTGAGGGAGGAAAGGAGAGAAGATACATCAATGTGAAATTTGGCACAGTACTGGAAGGGAAATAGAGCACAAGAATTTAAATGAGAGGGAGAAGGGTGAAATAACACGAGGTGTCAAAAGGAGGAGAAAGTGTCCCTTTGAAAAAAGAATAGGAGACAGACCAAGGTATGATTTGCGAAGAGTCATAACACCAACCAGATAGTTTGGATGGGGCAAGTGGTGGAAGGTACAGCCAGACAGAGATACTTCATTTATGGAGAAGATGTTATTAATCTTTAATCATGTTGATGTCAACGTGGTCATCCACAATAAGTTCTGGGATGCCAAAGGCCATCTTCACAATTGAATGTATACACCAGAGGGAGTTGTGGAGAGGGGCAATGAAAGCTGGCAGAGTCAATGCGACTAGCATTGAGAAGGGTGAATGGGATAGGAAGGAAGCACAAAATTTTAAGCCATGGAGGGGTTGCTGAGTGGGAGGGTTAATTTAAGAATAGTGTGGGGCACTTGGGGTACAACTCGTAAGGAGGCAATGACAGGCACTTTGCAATATGCCAAGGAAAGCAAAGAGAAGCTAAAGGCTTATCTAAGAGTGAGATGACCCTGAGATGGTGGCAGAAGAATAGGAGGTTTGAGGAGAGCTGAAAGGGTGGGATAGGTATTTGGGAGAAATAAAAGGAGTCATGATAACAGAAGAGAGGGTCTGAAAGGTGTAAGATGAAAAAAGAAAAAAAGTTGGAGAAAAGAAAAAGTTGAAAAAGAAGTGATGGGTTTATGTCTGAAGCATCAGCCAAAACAAGCATGAAAAATATAGGGAAACTTAGGGTTTGTAGCAAAATTAGAATACAAATATTCTGGTAGTAAGTGGGAAATAGGGATGATGCATGCAAGTCTCTAAATGAATTAGAAGGTGTTTGAAGGGCGGTGTTTTGTAAGATGCAATGTTCTAGGTATCTCTGTTAGAATGAAGAGCCAGTTGGTTGCACAATCAACCAGGGCACTTATCTGCCTTCTTAACCAGATGCATGGTGCAGAAAGCCAATGAAGGAGTGAGTACAACATGATTCTTGAAAGACGTTCATCCTGTTAAAAATAAAATGATGTGCTGGTGCCAGTGTTGGACCAGGGTGGGCAAAGTCAGAAGTCACATGATGCCAGGTTATAATCCAACAGGTTTATTTGATAAGCTTTTGGAGTGCAGCCCTTTCGTCAGGTGCAGTGAGAGTGGAGAGCACACACACAGAGTTTATAGGCAGAGAGATCAAAAGATCATACAACTGGTGTGAGTGGAGTGTCAGATAATAAGTCTCTGCAGGTGACCTAGAGTGTTAGACAGCGAGTAAAGTGTTTATAAAGTCAATGTCAGTGCTGTGCTGTCATGACAATCAGGCAGATCGAAAGGAGTATACTAAGGGGGGCATCTCAGGTCAGACACTGAATTGTAGGTGTGAGGCCTTGTTCAGAATCTGTCTCAGAGTTTTAACCTAGAATCAGGCTGGTTTTATTCCTAAGGCAGGAATTTGTAAGATGCCACACTGGCTGACTGTGAATATAAATTGTGTGTTTTTTGAACAAAATAGAATGTATCTGCAAATAAACAAACATCTTGGATGAAATGATTCATCCCATAGATGTGTGTGTGTGTGTGTGTGTGTGTGTGTGTGTGTGTGTGTGTGTGTGTGTGTGTGTGTGTGTGTGTGAGAGACAGCATATGTGTGTAAGAGACAGTGTGTGTGAGACAGGGTCTGTGTGAGTGTGTGTGTGTTTGTGTGAGAGAGAGTGTGTATGTACATGTGTGTGTGTGAGAGAGTGTATGCGTGAGACAGTGTGCGTGTGAGAGAGTGCAATAAGTAATCCAAACTGTACCAACTAATTAAGGTAGAGACAGCATAACAGTTTATCAAGGTGATGCTGTCAAAACAGGAAAGTAAGGAAGATTTTACAGAAATAGAACAGTGTGGTGGGATCACCTGTAGCGCAACATGAACCCAAGATCATGGTAGAGGTCACCTTCATGTGTACAGAACTTGGCTATCAGTCTCTGCTTGGCAATTCCGCGAAGTTGTGTATCTCGGAGTCTGCCTTGGAGGACGCTTACCTGAAAATCGGAGGCTGAATGTCCTTGACTGCTGAAGTGTTCCCCCACTGGGAGGGCACATTCCTGTCTGGCAATTGTTGCGTGGTGTCCATTCATCCATTGTCATAGTGTCTGCATGGTCTCACCAATATACCATGCCTCGGGGCATCCTTGCCTGCAGTGTATGAGATAGACAACATTGGCTGAGTCACATGAGTTTCTTCTGTGTATGTGATGGATGGTGTTCCCACATGTGATGTAGTATCCATGTCAATGATCTGAAATGTTTTGCAGAGGTTGCCATGCCAGGGTTGAGAGGTGTTGCGGTCAATGTTGTCCTGAAGGCTGGGTAGTTTGCTGCAAACAATGGTCTGTTTAAGGTTTGGTGGTTGTTTGAAGTCAAGGTGGAGGCGTAGGGAAGATCTTGGTGAGATGCTCATCATCATCGATAACATGTTGAAGGCTGTGAAGAACATGGCATAGTCCCTTCGCTCCGGGGAAGTACTGGATGATGAAGGGTATTTCATCGGTTATATCCTGTGTCTGTCTTCTGAGGAGGTCAGCGCTGTTTTTTGCTGTGGCACGTCAGAACTGGCGATCAATGAGGTGAGAATCATAGCCTGTTCTTATGACGCCGTCTTTCAAAACCTTCAGGCATCCGTTGCATTCCTCCTCATCTGAGCAGATCCCGCGTTTGCGCAGGGCTTGTCCATAGGGAATGGCTTCTTTAACAGGTTTACAGCGGAAGCTAGAGAAGTGCAACATCATGCAGTTATTTGTGGGTTTGCAGTAGAGTGAGGTACTGAGGTGTCCGTCCTTGATGGAGATGCATGTGTCCAAGAATGAGATTGAGTTTGAAGAGTAGTCCATATAAGTCTGATGGTGGGATGAAACTTGGTGATATTGCTATGCAGTTGTTTCAGTGATTCCTCGCCATGAGTCCAAAGGAAGAAAATGTCGTCAATGGATCTGGTGTATAGCGTTGGTCAGAGGTCCTGCGCAGCAAAGAGGTCTTGTTTGAACTTGTGCTTGAAAATATTGGCGTATTGGGGTGCAAATTTGGTCCCCATGGCTGTTTTGTGTGTCTGGATGAAGAATTGGTTGTCGAAGGTGAAGACTTTGTTGTCGAGGATGAAGCAAATCAGTTGTAGGATGGCGTCTGGAAAATGGCAGTTGTTGGTATTGAGTACTGAGGCTGTTGCAGCGATGCTGTTGTTGTGGGGGATGCTGGTGTAGAGTCCATTGAAATGTCCATTGTGATGAGGAATGTTCCTGGTTCAACTGGTCCACAGGTGCTGGGTTTCTGTAAGAATTCTGTTATGTCTTTCTTTCTTAAATTTATCCCATGACTTGGCTTCCATAGTCCTCTGTGGTAAAATTTCACAGATTCACCATCGTCTGAGTGAAGACATTTCTCTTCATCTCAATTGGAAATGGTTTGGTCGCAACAGAAGCTGGGGGTTCCTTGTACAATAGGTTTCAAGATTCCTTCAACATAGCAAGAGAGGTTCACACACAGGGTCCCATTGCTTGATACGATGGGATGTCCTGATGTGTTGGCTTTGTGCCTATAAACTCTATGTCTATGTGCCCTTCTCTCTCACTGCTCCTGATGAAGGGGCTGCACTCCGAAAGCTTGTGTGATTTCAAATAAACCTGTTGGACTATAACCTGGTGTTGGGTGACTTCTGACTTTAAAAATAGTATGATAGCAACAATACCTTTCTGTTTTCATTTGCATTTTTCATGATAGTTATCCATAATCGCTCCATGGTATGATATCGTTTACTTTCCACTGGCAATTGTCTGTTGATGTCCTCAGAACTGAAGATAGGTTCTAGGTAAAGCCAGGACCTCTGACACAATAGCCACTCATCCAGGACATCCTGAAACAACATGGAGCACAATATAGTGTAGTCCTTACTAGTGCTAGTGACAAATACAACCAGTGAATTAATTTGACTAGATCCCACAGAAAAGCCAGATTAAATCTAATGACTTTATTTCTATGGGGGTTGGAAGACCAAGTTTTCCAGTATTTCTTTTCTGTATTATTTTACTTAATAGGGTGATTGATATATGAACCAGAAATTGCATGGCATGCCTAATAATCCTTACTCACCTGGGTCATGCGCAGCTTGTTTTCCCAACTGCTGATCCTCGCTTCATATGCCTTCTTGAAGGGTGAGAAGGACATGCTCTGTGTCATGACAATATGATCATCCAGTAACTGAGAGGCTTCATCTGGACTTTTCAGAATAAATGTTCCAGTTTCTTTGTACGGCATGACGTCAAAATTAATATCTTCCCACTCACCCTCCATCTTATCGAGGGCCTATGAATAAGAAGATATCAACATTAATAGAGGGAGATCTCTTTATTTGCAAAGAAACATAGAAAATAGGAGCAGGAATGGCCATTGATCTCACTCTGCTGTTCAATATAATTATAGCTGATCCTTTATCTCAACACCATATTCTCCCTCTCTCCCTGTGCCCCTTGACATCTTTCGACTCTAGAAATTTCTTTCTTTCTTAAATTTATCCCATGACTTGGCTTCCATAGTCCTCTGTGGTAAAATTTCACAGATTCACCATCGTCTGAGTGAAGACATTTCTCTTCATCTCAGTTGGAAATGGTTTATGGCATATCCTGAGATCATGGCCACTTGTCTTGGGCCCCTTGGCCAGAGGGAACATCATCCCTACATTAAGACTGTCCAGCCAAGTCAGAATTTTGTATTTTTTGAAGAGCTTCAGCATTTTTCCTCCATGCTATTGCAGCCTCAGGGACAGCGCTCACGGACTTGGAGTAAAGTGGCGTCCCGTTGCCACTTATGAAATCAAGAAGCCTTGGTTGGAGCAAAAATAGGAATCTGTATTAACTTTGTATGCATTTAAAAAAATAATTTATGTAATTAAAATAGCACTAGATTAATTATGGCAACTTATGCATATTTTACTGTATTTACATAAATACGTGTAACGATAAATTACAATACTATATGTTTTCCATAGCCCACACTGTTCAGAGTCCAATAGGATTCCTCCCTATGTCTCTTAGTGGAATCTATTTAATGTTCTGCCTCTTGCACAACACCACCATCTTTCCCACATAGTATATAGTGACAATCTGAGAAACTGCAGAAAATATAGAAAAGTTACAATACAAAAAGAGGTCATTCAGTCCACCATGTCTGCACCAGATGAATAAATTAGCCGTCCATTCTAAACCAACTTACCAGCACCTGATCCTTTCCTTGCAGGTTACAGCTTCAAGCTGCAGATTCTGTTTTGTTTTTAAATTAGTTCAGGATTTCTGCTTCAGCCACAAAACTGGGCAGCAAACCCAGGACACCTACCAAAATATTTTCCCTCATGTCTGCTCTATTCACCTTAACGACCCTAAAAGTGTGCCCTCAGGTAATTGATCCATCTGCTGGGGGAAACAGGGCTTCCCTGACCACTTTGTCCAAGTCCCTCATTATTTTGTTCATCTTGATTAAGTCACCTCTCAGCCTCCTCTGTTCTCAGGTGAAAAAAACATTAGCCTATTCAATCTTTCCTCGTACCTGTAATTTTCAAGCCTTTGTAACACTCTTGTAAATCTTCTCTGTACTTTTTCTACGGAAATTATGCCCTCACTGTGTTGTGGTAATCAGAACTGTACGCAAAGTTCCAGCCATAACTAACCAGTGTCTTTATACAGTTCCAGCATTAAATCCCTGCTCTTCTATCCAAAACCTCACCAATGAAGGAAAACATCCAATATGCCTTCTTTATCTGCCTGACCTGCCACCTTCGGGACTTTGTGGTCATGTATTCCATGGTGAACACATATTACAAGGTCTTTTACATCTTCTATCTATCTCAATGTCTTCCTGTTTATTGTGAATTCCCTTGCTTTATTTACCCTCCCCAACTGCATAACCTCACACTCCTTGCATTAAATTCCATTTGACAATTTTCCATCCCATTAACTCAACCATTGCAATCTTCCTGCAGTCAACAGAGATCCTCTTCATTATCAACAGATTGCTACATTGCTATGAAACACTGCTAGTCTCTTTGAACAATGGTATCGGCAGGCATGTTGACAGCAGGTAACAACAGTTGAGTTTCCACTGCAGCACTCAGATAATTTGGATTTTGTTTACACTGCAATAGATGAATTTTAATTCTGCATAGGTCAACAAGCCAAATAGCCTTCTTTTATCAGGTAGAATCATTCTCTAATTCTATGAAGACATTAAGTATCAGATGCTACATCACAGTTGTGCCCATAAGTGCAAAAATCAAGTTAACCACCACATTCACATTGGAACAGAATGCTCGTAACTCTGCAAAACTTGATGCAATGTTATGCTGCTTGACATGCCTCCATGCTACTTGACAGAGACCATAGACTCTCATAAAGTTCTCCCAATGCAGCAAGAATTTCTGTGTTCACATTCATCAGCTTTTATCTGCACAATGTCTCATCAAAACATTTATCTCAGTGCTCTGCAATAACAAGTGATAATAATAATCCACATGTGTTTTTGATTTAATAAGAGTCATGTAAATCATGGCGATTTAACTAATCACATGAATTTGATACCAGTAAGAGGGAAAATAGCAGTTAAGAATAAGCATGCAAAGGGAGATGTCTCAAACATTACACTAGAAACCTGTATTTGATAACCTAGTATGTACAGTTGTAAATAGAGAAGTATTGTTGAACATAAAGAATTGAGGAACCTTACTTGGAGATAAGGAGCCAGAAACTCCAGGGAGAAGGAATGTGCAGACACCCACAACCTGAGATACTCCAGACTGATACCTCAAAGTAACAGCAGTATTGGCATAGAGCACAAGATAAAGAAGATTTGACATTTAATATTTTGCAAGGTCTGAAAGAAAAGTGACATCACATCGATTTTGTTTACACTGCAATGGATGAATTTTAATTCTGCATACGTCAACAAGCCCAATAGCCTTCTTTTATCAGGTAGAATCACACCCATTCCCCGCAATAACAACCAAAACAGAATCCCCCTCGTCCTCACATCCCACCCCAGCAACCTCCGGATCCAACGCATCATCCTCCAGCACTTCCGCCATCTGTAATCTGACCCCACTACCAAAGACATTTTTCCCTCCCCACCCTTATCTGCTTTCCGGAGGGACCACTCTCTCCATGATTCCCTTGTCCACTCCACACTCCCCACCAGCCCCACCACCCCTGGCACTTTTCTCTGCAACCGCAGGAAGTGCTACAACTGCCCCTACACCTCCCCACTCACCCGCACCCCAGGCCCCAAGAAGACCTTCCACATCAAGCAGATGTTAACCTGTACATCTGCTAATGTGGTATTCTGTATCCGCTGTTCCCGATGTGGCCTCCTCTACATTGGGGATACCAAACGGAGGCTTTGTGGAACACCTACACTCGGTTCACGACAAACGACTGCACCTCCCAGTCGCGAACGATTTCAACACCCCCTCCCACTCCTTGGACGACATGCAGTGCCACAACGATGCCACCCGAAGGTTGCAGGAACAGCACCTCATATTTTGCCTGGGAACCCTGCAGCCCAATGGTATCAATGTGGACTTCACATGGTTCAAAATCTCCCCTCCCCCGGCCGCATCCCAAAACCAGCCCAGCTCGTCCCCGCCTCCCTAACCTGTCCATCCTTCCTCCCACCTATCCACTCCTCCCACCTCAAGCCCCACCCCCACCTCCTACCTACCAGCCTCATCCCGCCTCCTTGACCTGTCCGTCCTCCCTGGACTGACCTATCCCCACCCTAACTCCCCACCTACACTCACCTTTACTGGCTCCATCCCCGCCTCTTTGTCCTGTCTGTCTCCTCTCCACCTATCTTCTCCTTTATCCATCTTCCATTCGCCTCCCCCTCTCTCCCTATTTATTTCTGAATCCCCTTCCCCTCCCCTATTTCTGAAGAAGGGTCCAGACCCAAATCGTCAGCTTTCCTGCTCCTCTGATGCTGCTTGGCCTGCTGCATTCATCCAGCTCTACACCTTGTTATCTCTGACATCACAGAGGAATGTCATGTTCCCCAAAATAATTTCCACCTACATAATTTTAATGACATATGCCATATGCCTACTAAACTGACTCTTTGAAGTTATATCTGCTTTATTTTATATATCCCCATCATGTTTTTGTAACATCATTGAACATGTTCGCTGATATTCATGATTTTGAACCATGACAGAAATCACATGACAACAAAATTATAATCCAACAGGTTTATTTGAAAACACAAGCTTTTGGAGCATAGCCCCTTTGTCAGTTGAAGTGAGACTTCTCACTTCACCTGATGAAGGGGCTACACTCCAAAAGCTTGTGTTTTCACATAAACCCGTTGGACTATAACCTGGTGTCGTGTGATTTCTGACCTTGTCCACCCCAGTCCAACAGTGGCACCTCCACATTTTGAACCATATTCAGGCTCTGATTCTGTCTCATACTGAAGTATGCCCTAAGATAGTACCAGAGATTAGGATTGCAAAGTTCTTCTTGCATCAATTTTATTGGATTTATTTTGAATCCATTACACTTGAATTTCTGATTTTTAGAAAGTGAAACATCAAGGAAGTTAAAAAAATACTCTAAAGAAAACATTGAAGATTGCCACATTTATAGAGATTTAACTCAAAAAATGTTGAAGAAGTGAAATCTTTAACTGAGATAATGTAGCTCTGAAAAGCTACCTTCCAGATTATAACTAAATTAGGCACTAAAACATTTCAAAGAAATAGAGGTGGTTTCATTGGGTTTTGGTGCATAGCAATATTTCTTGGCAATAGGGTATATTTTAAGAGGAATAGAATGGAATAATTCATTTTAAACCTGCACAGAAGTTTGAAGCATGCTTCTAGTCTCCAAATTATTCAGAAGAAATATATGCATGGAAAAACCTTGGAATGATCTTACCTGAACTGGTATCAGTTATGCAGACCCAATCTACATCTTTTAGGACCCGACCAGGTTTGTCTGAAAAGTGGCAAGTAACATTAAGACCTCACAAATGCCAGGCAATGACCATCTCCGATAAAAGGAAATATAACCACTACCCCTTGATATTCAGTGGCATTACCATCACTGAATTCCCTTCTATCAACATTCCTGAGGGTTACCGTTGACAAAAAATTCAACAGATCTAACTAGATAAATGCAGTGGCTACACGAACAAGTCAGGTTAGGAATGGGTGAGTAGGAATAGGAACAGGCTGGGTGCATAACTCACCTCCTGACTCCCCAGAGCCTGTCCAACATCTACAAGACACAAGTCAGGAGTGTGATGGAAGGCTCCCCACTTGTCTGGATGAGCACAGCTCCAACAAGACTCAAACAGCTTGACACTATCCAGGGCAACACAGCCCACTCGATTGTCACCATATCCATAATCATCCACTCCATCCACCACTAACACTCAGTTGCAGCAGTGTGTACTGACTACAAGATGCACTGCAGAAATTCACCCAAGATCCTTAGACGGCACCTTCTAACCCACGTCACTTCAATCTAAAAGGAGGAGGGTAACAGATACATGGGAACATTACCGCTTGCATATTTCCCTCCAACCATTCACCATTCTGACTTGGAAATATGTCTCCATTCCTTCTGTGTTGCTGGGTCAAAATCCTGAAATTCCCTTCCTAATGGCATTGTGGGTCTACCTACAGCATATGGATTGCCATGGTTCAAGAAGACAGGTCACCACCACCTTCTCAAGGGCAACTAATTTCGATAAATTTAGATAATTTAATTTAAATAAATGTGAGGTGTTGCATTTCACTAAGACAAATCAGGACAGGACTTACCTAGTTAATGGTGGGGCCCTGGGGAAACAAAGAGACCTAGTGGTGAAGGTGTATAGTTCCTTGAAAGTGGAGTTGCAGTCAACAGGGTGATGAAGAAAGCACTTGGTACGCTTACCTTCATTGGTCAGAGCATTGAGTATAGGAGTTGGGATTTCATGTTGTGGCTGTACAGGACATTGGTGAGGTCACCTATAGAATACTGCATACAATTCTGGTCTCCCTTTTATAGGAAGGATCTTGTTAAACTTGAGATGGTGCAGAAAAGATTTACAAAGATGTTGATGGCACTGGAGGGTTTGAGTTATAGGAGACGGTGAATAGGCTGGTGCTTTTTTCCTCGGAACGTCAGAGGCTGAAGGGTGGCCTTATAGAGGTTTATAAAATCATGACAAGCATAGATTGGGTGAATAGTCAAGGTCTTTTGCCTTGGGTGACAGAGTCTAAAACTAGAAGGCATAATTTAAGGTGAGAGGGGAAAAATTCAAAAATGACCTGAGGGGTAACTTTTTCATGCAGAGGGTGGTGCTTGTATGGAACGAGCTGCGAGAGGAAGTGATGGAGGCAGGTACAATTACAACATTTAAAAGGCATCTGGATGGGTAGATGAATAGGAAGGGTTTAGAGGGATGTGGGCCAAATGCTGGCTAATGGGACTAGGTCAGATTAGGATGCCTGGACAGCGTGGACGATATGGGCTGAAGGGTCTGTTTCTGTGCTGCATGACTTTTTTTTTCTTTATTCATTCACGGGATGAGGGCATTGCTGGCTAGGCAGCATTTATTGCCCATCGGCAAGTTAAGAATCAACTACATTGCTGTGGGTGTGGAGTCATATATAGGCCAGACCAGGTAAGGATGGCAGTTTCCTTCCCAAAAGGACATTAGTGAAACAGATGGGTTTTTCCGACAATTGGCAATGGATTCATAGTCATCATTAGATTCTTAATTCCAGACATTTATTGAATTCAAATTCCACCATCTGCCATGGCGGGATTCAAAACCGGGTCCCCAGAATGTTGCCTGGATATCTGGATTAGCAGTCCAGCAATAATACCACTAGGCCATCACCTCCCCACGACTATGATTGTAACTAGGGATGGGTGATAAATGCAAGCCCATGTCCAATGAGTGAATTAAAAAAAGGTGTGGCACAGTGGCTCAGTGGTTAGCACTGCTGCCTCATAATGCCAGGAACCTGGGTTTGAGCTCACCTTCGGGCGACCACCTGTGTGGAGTTTGCACATTCCCCCATGTCTGCATGGATTTCCTCCAGGTGCTCTGATTTCCTCCCACAGTCCAAAGATGCGGAGGCTAGGTGGATTGACCATGCTAAATTGCCCATAGTGTTCAGGGATGTGTAGATTAGGGGGATGGGTCTGGGTGGGATGCTCTGAGGGTTGGTGTGGATTTGTTGGGCTTAAGGGCCTGTTTCCACGCTGTATGACTAACAATCCATATAGTCCCAAAATGGTCTATATTGATTTAAACTGAATGGTTTTATTCATCGACTCCAATATTCTATTACTTTCACTGCAACATTAGCCATTAAACTTGAATAATTTCTGCACAACAATCTTTTCCCTTGTATACTTTATTAATGGTGTTCCTTGAAAATAAATATGCTTTGCGTTAGCCTTACCAACATGTATGTGATTACATTTCTCCAAACTTATTGCTGTGCAGTCCACTGTGCTAGTACATCAAAGTCTTTCTACATTTGATATCACTCCTTTGCTGCCCAAATCCTTGCATAAATGTTGTTGTCATTTGCCACTTTACTGATCATGTTACACCACATCCTTATCTGAGTCATTAATAAAGATAGCAAATAGTATCAGGATTAAGATTAACCTCAGAGGACATCATGTGAAATCAATTTCCATCTTGAACCTCATTAGTTTACTATGATATTTTGATTTTGGGATTGGAATAACATTTCTAGTTCAATTTATTAAATTTCTACTGATGCTACAAGACTATATTTTGTGAATTAAGAGTATAAAATGCCAAAAACAAAAATAGAGATTGCTGGAAAAGTTCAGCCGGTCTGGCAGCATCTGTAGAGAGAAATCAGGTTTAACGTTTCGGGTCAAGTGACCCTTCCTCAGAACAGTTCTGAACACTTGACTCGAAATGTTAACTCTGATTTCTCTCCACAGATGCTGCCAGACCTGCTGAGCTTTTCCAGCAATTTCTACTTTTGTTTCTGATTTACAATATCTGCAGTTCATTCGATTTTCATTTAGTATAAAATACCAAAATGGTTTCTGAAATGCCTACCTGTTCTATGGCATACTCCTTTCCAGCTACTTCTGCCACCTTAGAAATGGTCTCTACATGATCTTGAAGATTCATGTCCAAACACCGGGCAAATGTTAGATTAGTCTTGGGCTTGACTGGTATTTGGATTTGCTCTGATATCATATCCCAGTGTCTGTTTCGCATGCCAGGATTCCGCAGTGCTTGAATCAGTGGGATATATGGCTTAAAGCTTTCAACCATTGATCGGATTTTTATTGCAACTTCTGCAAGGCCTGTAAACAGTGAATGAAATGTCAGACTGCAAGGGTTACAGTGTTTCATAGATTTCTGAATATTGTGGGTGAGGCTAAAAAGAGGAAGGAACAGAAAATCCATAAACTGCTGTGGTTTACATTGTTACTTATCGAAAGTTAAATTGCTCTTCCTGAAAGGCAAGCTAAATGATATCCCATTTAATAAAATAACCATGGGAGTATAATACATATATCTTGAACTTTTAAACAAAGGCCACTTTGCTAAGAAAAAGGCATTGGGTACATTAGCAATAATGTTGCAGTATGAGGAGCAGGGAACTCAAATAGAGTCATACAGTCTGGAGAACTTTCAAGGAGACGTCACATGGCCCACTTTGTGAGACGAATAAGACTAGTGCTTTTTTTAACTCAATGAGCGAGACTTTAAGACTGACTGGGAGGCAACAGCCCATTGCTTTCTCTCTTTCTCTCTTTATTTACAACTCCTGTCAGCAAAGTATTGAGCTGAAAACCCGTTGACAGTCATTCTTATGTGTTACAGCAATGTTCCTGAACAGGATTTTCTTATAATGTCCCCACCATCTGATGCAAATGGATTTTAGCCAACTACAATTGTTCCTGGAAGAGAACCCAATGCCATCAGCTTTGTATGCATGCAGAATAACTTGGAATTAAAATACCAATTGGTACAATCTATGACTTATCCTTCCTTCATGAGTTTAGCTACTAGTTGAAGGACTTTAAAGTTCACACTCTGCAGAATTTTAATTTTTTGTTTCTCTTCAGACTTAATAACAGATGTATACGTTAGTTTTTAAAAGAGTACATAGTTTTGCATAATTCAAACTGTTTGTCAATCTTCATATCTTTGAGTAAGTTTGATTGTGGTAATACATTGATTATTTGTTGCTGATGAAGAAAACTTCTTAGTACTGAACCTGACATAGTCTGACACCTATATAATTGGCAATTGCTAAATGGGACAGACTTTGAATAGATCTAGCAACTCAAGGCTGGGCATCCATGAGGCACTGTGGGCCATCAACAGCAGCAGAATTGTGCTCCAGCACAATCTGTAACCTCATGGCCCGGCTTACTCCCCAATCAACCATTACCATCAGGCCAGGGGATCAACCCTGGTTCAATGGAGAGTGCAGGAGGGCATACCAGGAGCAGCACCAGGCATACCAAAAGATAAGGTATCAACCTGGTGAAGCCATCAAACAGGACTACTCGCATACCAAGCAACCTAAGCAGCAAATGATAGACAGAGCTAAACGATCCCAGAACCAATGGTTCAGATCTAAGCTCTGCAGTCCTGCCCCAACCAGTCGTGAAATGGTGGTGGACAATTAAACAACTGACTTGAGGAGAAGCCTCCACAAATACCCCCATCCTCAATGATGGAAGTGTCCAGCACATCAATGCAAAAGATAAGGCTGAAGCTTTAGAAGCAACCTTCACCTAGAAGTGCCAAGTGGATGATAGATCTTGGCTTTCTCCAGAGATACCCAGCATTACAGATTCCAGTCTTCAGTCAATTCGATTCACTCCACGTGATATCACGAAACGGTTGGAGGCACTGGATACTGCAAAGGCTACGGGCCCCGACAACATTCCAGCAATAGTACTGAAGACTAGGGCTCCAGAACTTGCCGATCCCCTAACCAAGCTGTTCCAGTACAGTTACAACACTGACATCTACCTGACCATGTGCAAAATTGCCCAAGTATGTCCTCTACATAAAAAAGGTCAGATCCAACCCAGCTAATTACCACTAGGCCACTGTCGATCATCAGTACAGTGATAGAAGGCATCATCAACAGCGCTATCAAGTAGGACCTTCTCAGCAGTAACCTGCTCAGTGATGCCCAGTTTGGGTTCCGCCAGGGCCACTCAGCTCCTGACCTCATTACAGCCTTAGTTCAAACACAGACAAAACAGCTAAATTCCAAAGGTGAGGTGAGAGTAACAGCCCTTGATATCAAAGCTGCATTTGACCGACTGTGGCATCACGGAGACCTAGCAAAACTGGAATCAATGGGTATCACCAAAGATCCTCAGACCTTCCAAACCCACAACCACTTCCATCTAGAAGGACAAGGGCAGCAGATACATGGGAAGACCACGTTCAAGTTCCCTTCCAAGCTACTCACCATTCTGACTTGGAAATGTATTGCTGTTCCTCCACTGTCGCCGGGACAAAATCCTGGAATTCCCTCCCTAATGGCACTGTGGGTCAACCCATAGCAGGAGGACTGCAGCAGTGCAAGAAGGCAGCTCACCCCTACCTTCTCAAGGGCAACTACGGACTGGCAATAAATGCTGGCCAACTAGCAATGCCCACATCCCACAAAATGAATAAATAACAAAAAAAATGACCACCCTAGTTAAATTTAACATCTGTTGTGATCAGTGGACGAACATAGAACAGTACAGCACAGTACAGGCCCTTCGGCCCACGATGTTGTGCCGACCAGTTATCCTACTCTAAGATCAAACTACCCTGCATTCCCTTCATTTTACTATCATCCATCTGCCCATCCAAGAGTCGCTTAAATGTCCCTAATGTATCTGGATCTACTACCACCGCTGGCAGTGCATTCCACACACCCACCACTCTCTGTGTAAAGAACCTACCTCTGACATCTCCCTTATACCTTCCTCCAATCACCTTAAAATTATGCCCTCTCGTGATAGCCATTTCTGCCCTGGGAAAAAGTCTCTGGCTATCCAGTCTATCTGTGCCTCTCATCATCCTGTACACTTCTATCAAGCCATCTCTCATCCTTCTTCACTCCAATGAGAAAAGCCCTAGCTCCCTTAACCTTTCCTCATAAGACCTGCGCTCCAGTCCAGGCAGCATCCTGGTAAATCTCCTGTGCACCCTCTCTAAAGCTTCCACATCCTTCCTATAATGATGCAACCAGAACTGAACACAATATTCCAAGTCTAACCAGGGTTTTATAGAGATGCAGCACAACCTCACGGCTCTTAAACTCAATCCCCCTGCTAATGAAAGCCAACACACCATATGCCTTGTTAAGAACCCTATCAACTTGGGTGGCAAGTTTGAGGGATCTATGGACGTGGACCCCAAGATCCCTCTGTTCCTCCACACTGCCAAGAATCCTGCCATTAACCCTGTATTCTGCATTCAAATGCGACCTTCCAAAATGAATCACTTCACACGTTTCCCAGTTGAATTCCATCTGCCACCTCTTTGCCCAGCTTTGCATCCTGTCAATGTCCCGTTGCAACCTACAACAGTATCCTCCACACTTTCCACAACTCCACCAACTTTTGTGTCATCGGCAAACTTACTAACCCACCCTTCCACTTCCTCATCCAAGTCATTTATAAAAATCACAAAGAGCAGAGGTCCCAGAACAGATCTCTGCGGAACACCACTGGTCACCGAGATCCCTGCGGAACACCACTAGGAGCAGAACTGGAAAAGAAAACAATAAATCCCTCCAATCTTGGTTGTAACAAAACTAGTGTGCAGAAACTTAGGAATTAATATCTGAACAATACACAATTTGGAATGGAGTCAAGCATATCAGTGAGTTAAATATGTGAATTAAAGAGAATTCATAGAATGCCTAGGGAAAAGGAAGCTGTTTACTTTGGTGATTTGTTTTAAACTGAGTTCTGATTAGCGTTTAAAGTTTTTGAGAAGATCTGATTAGTGTCCTGGTGAACTGAATAGCTCAGGCAGAAGAAAGAGTTTTAATATAAACGATTGGGAAGGAGTTAGCGGCAAGTCAAAATTTAGAAATTTAAACATAAAAGTAGAGTTAATAAAACAACTTAGTAAAGTGTGGCAGGAAAGGCCAGAAATAAACAGGAAATAGTCAGGTTAAAAAAAAGTTAAAATGAAAGGCTCTGTATCTGATGGATGAAGTAATTATACTAAGAATAAGAACGACAGAATGAGAACAACAAAGAATCAGTGAGTTTAATCAGTTACAGAAACATGATTGCAAGGTAATCAGATTGGGAACTAAATATACTTGTGCACTTGACATTTTGAAATGACAAGCAGAACAGAGAATGAGGTTTGGTGCTGGTAACCTTGAAACAACCTTGAAATTAATGCGTAGTGATAAGAAATGATCTTTGCTTGGAAGATCAAATAACACCATTATGTTAGATGGAGATTTCCTTCTAGTCACACGTGGGATGTGAGCATTTATTGCACATCATTAGTTGCTCTTAAGAAGGCATTGGTGAGCTGACTGTTTGAACTGCCATAATCCATGTAGGTAGACCTACAATGCCATTCGGGATGCAATTTCAGGATTTTATCCCTATGACAATGAGGGGAAGTGATATATTTCCAAGTCAGGATGATGAGTGACTTGGAGGAGAACTTGCAGGAGGGGTGGTGCTCCCATGTATCTGCTGCCATTATTGTTCTAGGTGGTAATGGTCTTGAGTTTGTCAATGGATCTTTGGCGAATTTCTTCAGCGCATTTTGCAGATGGTACACACTGCTGTTATTGGAGGGAGTGGATATTTGTGGATATGGTGGCATTCAGGTGAGCTGCTTTGTCCTGAGTGATGTCAAGCTTCTTGAGTGTTATTGGTGCTGCACTCATCCAGATAAATGAGGAGTATTCTGTCACATTTCTGACTTGTGCCTTGTAGATTCAGGACACGCTTTGAGCAGTCAGGAGGTGAGTTACTTGCTGCAGTATTCCTAGCTTCTGACCTATTTTTGTAGCAACTATATTTATGTAACTAGTCCAGTTGACTTTCTAGTCAATGGTAATGCCCAGGATGTTGATAGTGAGGATTCAGTGATGGTAAAGCCATCGAATAGCAAAGGATGGTGGTTAGATTGTCCCTTATTGAAAATGATCATTGCCTGGCATTTGTGTGGCACAAATGCTGCTTACCACTTTTCAGCCCAAGTCTGGATGCTGTCCAGGTATTACTACATTCGGACATGGACTACTTCAGTATCTGAGGAGTCACAAATGGTGCTAAACACTATGTCCTCATTGGTGGAC